TGACATTTGGCTCACCTTTCTGCCCTCTTTGCTGCTGATGAGTCCCCGCTACAGCATTCGGCAAACGGCTCGCTCCTTCCCCTGACACGACTGCTCTCACCAGGTCTGTCAAGATTAGCTGCTGTACTCTCCTGCTCTCGCTTTGTTTTCACACAGGGTGGACAGTAAGAGGGAGGGAGGAGGTATGATGCAGAGAGGTGGAGGGGAGGTGACAGAGGCAACGTGTATGTATGCGGTCTCTATGTCCACATGTCCTTCATATTACTCAAGTATATGCTGTTTCCTTTCACTGATCGTGGGAATCTTTTCAAAATAATGAGAATTTAATTGTTTTTCTTCTACTTGCAAAAACCCAGATCAGTTTAATTGTACAAGGATTCAACAAAGGAAATAGTTGTTTCTCATTTTACCTAGCTAGTGTTAGAGACTGGACCCGGTCATTAAGAGCAGGAGTAGCTGAAGTCAATGTGGAGCACAGGTAAGAACTGAACCTAATATCATATCATCGTCTTCTGCAATGTGTCTTCTTCCGTATAATGACAGCGTATGCTTGACTTCTATTTTTCTTCAATTTTAATTCAATATTGCAGCTTTGTGGTGCAGTTTTTGGGTTTATAAATATGCCTTGGTTACCTCAAATTAGATTATATTTGACAAATATGTGAACAGGTGTGCTTGAAGGTCACTGCTTGAAGGTCTTTCCTTTTCTCAAGTATACATCTGTGGAGATGAGCGCTGTCCTGACAGCTCCACCTGTTTCCTGCTGCTCTCACATCCAGACTGAGCTCCACACGAGTTTGCTCAAATTTCACACAAACATTATTCAAGGAATACATATTTGAGTCAAACTTGTCCCCGTTAATGAGTACACCACTTGTGTTTAACTGTTAGAAAAAAGCTAAATAAAGAATAATTTGCACACTTTCTTGATGATGATAGATTAGATGCTAGATTTTAGATGTTATCTGGTTGACCCATGTTGAGGTTTAATAATAGAGGACTGGCTGGAGAGATGATAATTAGTCTAAATAAAAATACACTGCTTATAATGTGTTGGCTTAGAGCAGAATAATGCGAATCATCATAGTAAAATTTCAGGAAAAAAGGAGTTGTGATGCAAGTGTGTGATCTGAATATGGCCGGAAAGAGAGGCGCCCTGTGCTCCTGTGGTGCTGGTGTAAAAGTGTCAGGAAAGTGTGAGAGTGTGACAGTCAACAGCGACATTCTCCACCTCCGCAGGCAAGTGTGGATTCACAGGACAGGCACACCCACCTGTGTACACACATCCACATACAGTGTTCTCACAGACTCTCTCTTTCTCTTTCTGTAGGAGACAGCCATTGAAACTTTATTAACTTTCTTTCTGAAAAGAAATCATAACAATCATCTTGATAGCTTGATCAAAACATGTTGCTGAAAGGTAAAGAAATAGAGCTTTTAAAAACATGGCTACACGGTGAATTATTAAAATTAAAACAAGCTTAAAACATTTTTATATTTATAGAAATACTCTAAAACACTTCATAGTTTAATTCAAAATTAAGGGAGAAAATCTGTACACATGGGCACATTGAGTGCTTCTCTAATAGTGTGTCTCATCAACTGTTGGAGTAACGGGGAAAAAATGGATTTCATGCTGGTAAGTTATTTTTGTCGTACTGTATCTGGAATGACAGGAAAACATTTTTCTGTTCGTCTGTGTTTTCTGAAGTGGGACAAAGAATTCAAGCAACATGTTATATGGCTGGCCACATTTCCTCCACACATCCACACCTGATCAATAGTCTAAATTTAGTGGGATGATTATCCCTCACATTTGGAAAGTGATATGCCTGTCAGACTTGCAGGCTCAGGCCGATTCAAGGGGAAAGCAGAGGTCCTTGTGCTCCTGCTCAGCTCCACTTACTCACCAGACAGATTGGGTCCTATGACAAACTCATTATTTGGTTAAAAAGAGAAAGATTTCTGTTTTCCTTTGACATGGTGACTTATTTGTCACATTCTAAGGCAAAGCCAAAGTACGCTGATGGCACCTGCCTGGCCGGCTCACTTTTGACCTTCATAGCCAGTCTCTAAATTCACCACCACAGTGACGAGAGACACCCAAAGCCCAATATGTGAGCGAGGTTGGGCCTGTACATCAGCATCACCATGCAAAAAAACAGACTTTAGAAGAAGAAAAGAGAAAACTAACACGTCTGGAGAGTCACGTACTGTACTGCCTGCAGGACTCGGAGATGAACTATGACTTGAATTTATGATCAAAAGAAGCTGCATTTTAACTGCGCTTGAGCTCTTGAAGAGAAGTGAGTTACAGTCACCACTGCAAATTTCAGTGAGCGTAGATTTATTGTGTGTTCCCCCAGCAGGATAGCAAGAGGAAGACTTATCTTGGCATTATTTGAAGGGTTGAGTTAGATGTGCACGCTCTTCCTCGGGTTTGATATACAGTGTTTCTCACAGTCTGTTGCTGAACATCATTGGATGAGTATTTATAAGCCTTTCATACTCAGCAGTCATTCCTTTTGTATCTGACACTGGCCTCAACAGCTTTGTCTGTTCAACAAATCTGTTGTATATATTTTTCCACTTGAGTGAGGTGTATCTGTCTCAGTCTGACGGGCTTTAAGGCCATAACCAGTTGTGTCAGCTTTCTCTTTGGTTCCTTTATTTACTTCTATGTGTGGTGATGTGGCTCTGAGAACATATTAGCCTTTCAGTTTACATGAGATCATTTTACATTTTGGAAGTTTTCCAAATGCTTGTCTAGTACCAGAGCAGATATTCTTTTTATGCTCAAACAGAAGCAAGGCACCCTGTATTAACAGGCTTACACCAATAGAGGGTAGCATAGATTAAACATTAGCTGGAATCCAGAATTACTTCTGCATACTTTGGCACCTTCAGACTCACATAAAAGTGATGATAAAGATCAGTATTAGTCTGTTCTGTGTTAGCACTTTAAAAAAGACTTACCACTTAAAAAAATAGAGATTTATATACAAAAGTCAAAGTTAGCGTAAGCCTACTTTAGATTCAACACAGCGTCCTCAGAGGTAAGTGAAAGCTAGCTGATAGAAACGGCTCAAGAAACAGAGTAAAAGCAAAGTATGTTAAATATTTTGTAAACAAGTTGCAGGATTGTTGACATCATCCTTCAAAACATGGTATATCAAAGTAAATGTTCGGTAATCATAACAAATATCAAGAGTAATAAAAATAATCTTAAGAAGAATTTCTATATTATATGAAGTTAACCGTCTTCGAAACTACTTAAATTATTGTACTCTTCTTTAATCCTGCCTTATCTCAGCTATTGCACTGACCTATGGGGTAAATTATACAAAATTCAACATACGACACGTAACATATGTCTTATTATTATTTTGCATTACCTTAGTTTGTACAAAAGGCGGGTGTATGACCTTTTAGTTCCCTTTGACCTATGTGTGAAAGTCATTGTGATTTTATAACTTTTGAAATAAAATCAGAAATAATGATAATTCTTTTTTTAATCATTGAAGGTACAGATGCAGTTTTTACACTTACATTTTACACTTTCTTGCAATACTCTATGTAGTGTGACCTAAAGGTTTGTAGCAGTAAAGCACAACTTTCAAACTTGGGAAATCTGACAGTCTCAGGGACACATTTGAATGCAAACAAATTCCTTTAAATGCTCGCTAAAGTGACTAAGCACTTTAAAGTTGAAAAACCATAGCAGTATCTAGCAGTTAATACCCTGCCAATTAAATCTCTATAATTAATTGCTTGTGTAGCAAACAGATGTTTCAGCTGAATGCAACATTGTGTCTGTTTATATACACGGAGCTAATTTTTAGGAAATTCCCCTCCTCTACGATTAGTTTCTGTAATCTGATCACATCGTTCGTGGAAACATTTTTAGAAAATAGTTTTGTAACTATAGACATGCAAATTAAATATGACCATACTTGTTATTTCCTCCACTGATTGTGAAGCAACATTAGAAACACAAGTGGATGGGAGGTGAAATGATGTCAGTTCATTATTCATTATTATCATTCATTATAACAGGTCCCTGGTGGCATAAGTGTCTCTCTCATCGAGAGGTGACAGAGATTAGCTTTAGAAGGCTCTATGAACAAACCGAGGAACCAATCGTAGTAGAGCAGCTTCCTCCCTTCTTGCTCTCTTTACACAGTGTTTCTCTACATCACCTTTCTCCAAACATACCAGTCCAATAATACCATCTGTCCTCTCCCCAGTGGCCTTCACCTTATCCCTGAGCTTCTTACCCCTGTCCCCCTCTCCTGCCGTCTGCTTTGCCCTCCCTTCTTCTTCTTCTTCTTCTTGTCTTTGGACGATACAGGATCTCCATGCTCCAATTTCACCCTCTCATCATGACATCCATTAAAGTGGCGCTGGGCCCTGGGCCCCTGTTGGCCCGACAGCACATTAGCTCTCGGCCCATTGAACAACAACAAGGACCGGCTCTGAATTATTGATACCAACACAACTAATGAGGAAACACTATCTCAGCTCTTTTGCTGACACACAAACACACACACACAAATGTTGACGGAACAACTTGCAAGCACAACTATATTAATAACAACTATTGTTCCAGCTGCTAGTGTCACATTTTCAAAAACGAATATTTTCTGTACTCAGTCCATTTCCTGCAGACGTAATGTATGTCTGCGTGGTTTGTCCAAGGAGCCAGAGGCTAAAATTCTTCTTCTAACCTGTCTGTTCCTTTGCACTTAAAAAAAAATATGCTTGTTCCACATCAGTAAAGTCCATTATTTTCTCTGCTGGATGTGTCAGATCTTGCTTGCAGTTGTGAAATTTTCTGTGTGTCTTTAAGAGCTACCATATGTTCCATAATACCAGCAGTTTTTAGTCATTGGATTTTATCCAAACGTAAGAGTCTGTAAGAATTTGAGTGGGTGTTTGTGGCACCTAAGACTGCCAGTGTTTACATACAGTAGTCTAAACGTATGCAGTGGAGCTGCTGTAAAGAGAGGTATTGGAGGTGTCAGCCAGCCTCCTTAGTATTCACTCCAACACCCTGTGACTCACAGCCTCAGCCTGAGAGCGTGAGAAGGGTAGTGGTGGAGCTAGAGATAGAAGAGAAAGAGGGAAAGAGAGAGCAGGACAAGAGGAGGCACAATGAACATCAGGCAGCATTTTCTGTAGCCCCAGGCTCACGTGTTTATATCTGTATGTGTTTGCAAGCATGCCCGCCCAAGGGGATTAATTTTTTGACAGCTTTGTTAAGCCTTCTCTTAAGCGCTGAGCTTCTCAATAACATCGTGGCTGTGTGATTTTCCGAATGTCTCTCTGTGATTTCTCTTCACAAGGGAAGCTGGAGAGAGAGACAGAAAGAGAGAGGCAAAGACTAGTGCTCAACATGACAGCAGGCATTCTTTGAGTGGCTCCTCGGTGTGGAGGAAGTGGACCATAAGAAGCTGGCTGTGAAGCTCCTCTTCATTCACTGACTGCATTGCATTGGTCGATAGTTAAATTTTTCCACAGCCCATTTTCTGTGTCCGACTCTGTCTGTCTTTGTCTCAATATTCAATCCTTCTGGTTGTCTCTTCTTGTCACTCAATGTCTCTTCATTCCTCTGTCAGTTTGTATTTAGTTTAATCTCTGCCCCTCCTTCTTCTGCTTCCTCCGCTCTGTCGCTTTCTATTTCATCTCTCCTTTTTGCTTGCTCCCCCCCAGTCCTACTCCCAGTCTCAAGTCTATCCCCTTTGATGAAACCACAGATGTTGATAAGAATGTGTAACTTTGTCTGGGTAGGTTGAAAAGATGGAGGGAGGAAAGGGAGAGAAGCACAAACGCGCACAGCGTTAAGGTTAATCCCCTTACAAGTCCACACACACATGGAGTCAAAGGGTAGCGAGGCGGAGGTAATAAACAGCGAATGCAACAGACAGAAAACCAGGCTCACTGTGAGGGGGAGATGGGTGAGGACAGTGTGGCAAATAAAAGTGAGAAATTGGTTTTGGGAGACAGCTTTTTCAGTCAAGCTCTGTCTCCCCTTCATGACTTCCACTCTGCATGATGACAAGTGCCTGCTGCTGTTCCCATTGGTCGAACCTGCCACCAATCAGAGCAGAGGCATGTAAGGTGCCTTTAGGTTATATCCAATCCCTAAAAAACAAGGAGCAGAGAGAGGGAGAGAAAGCCAGAATGGGAAAGGGAGTTGTGTGCTTCATAGAGAGAGACCAAAGCAGATGTTGACTTTAAAGTAGATCGAACTGCTTTCCTTTTGAAGTGATACAGTAGACAGGAAACTGGTTGTCAGCTGTTTGTTGGAGACCACACCACAATTCCTCCTGGCTGCTGTGGAGAAGAAGATCTTGGCTCTGTAGTCTCCCCCCTGCCAGCGTGATTGGCTGTCACACTTTAGGCTCCCCCTTCTCTCTTTTTCTTCTTCACTCTCTCTCTCTCTTACTCTCTCTCTCTCTCTCTCTGTCTCCTCTGTGCTGTCCTGAGGCTTACCTGAGCCATCACTGCAGAAACAGAGGACCCCCCTCCTCACACACACACACACACACACTCGTGCTGTTTCTCTCTCACACTCAGTTTTTCACCTGGATAGGGCAGGCGCAAGGGACGGCATGTGCAGCAGCAGCAGCAGTCTCTCCTCACATCTAGCGCTACCTCTCTGAGTTGCCTCTTTCTGGAGAGTGGAGAGCAACTCTGAAAAAGACATTTTGGAGCCATTGTACACTTGGAGAAAACAGGAGAGACGGGGGGCAGTGAGGGAACACTTGTCAACCCAGGGACACCAAAGGCAACGCACAGCAATGATTTTGGGTGAGTTGTTGCTTTTTGGCGCATCGGATTTTAGAAGACATCAGTCAGGCTGTTGAATCACTAATCCCTACTTAAACTTGGCCACCAGCAGCTCTGTTTTATTTATTTTTTTAGTAGTCTGCTTGGTTTTGATTGCACAGAGACATCTGTCAATACCAAGCGCCTGGGTCAACCTCTAAATTACAGATAGTGTTTGTAATTACGCTAATAGTGTGCCATTTATGTGGCAGGTGTGAGTGATGACATAGAAGGTCAAAGCATTTGCGCTGGACTGTATCATTATGGTCTGTTTGGTCACATGACCAGACTCCACCACTCTCATGTTCTGTCAGAAGGGGCTAAGTGACAAAGATGGTTTCAGCTGAACTTGGTGATAACTGATGTCATGCGGTTTTATACAAACAGTCAGTGAAGAATTCGTGACTTTCTTCTGATGATTTGTTACTGTGGCACTCAATTTCTCCTCAACCTTGCATTGCTGCCATCCTGATTAATGATAAGCGTCCAAGTCATCAAACACATTTTAAAAAGAAGATTCATTCCTTAGCATGCAGGAGAGTATAGATTCCAGTTACTAGACATTGTTGTGTTGTCAGTCAGCCAGCACTTTCTTCTTTAGTATGCTGGTCTCATAGTGGCCATGTCTAGGAGAGGGGATTCTGTGTGGTCTGTGTGTGCTTTGCATTCGGCTTGTAGATTCATACAGAGGTTTTAAAAGGAAATTCGCTTGTAAAAATGTTCTAGAGTCTTCTTATTTGCACATGGCCATGACTGTGAAGCCGTGTGTGCTTACTGCCCATGTATTACTTCGAAATGTGTGTGTGCGTTGATGCACGCTCTCCCGGAGAGGCCACTTTGTTTTAACGCATGCCTGGGCTGATTCAGGCGCAGTTCTGCTTCTCTGCTCTCCCGGCAGGCATGTTTTTCAAGCAGATAACTTTAATGATTATGGGGAGTCATGCAGTCTGAGGTGTGGGAGCTCAAAGTGTGTGTGTAACTGTGAGCTAAAGGTTTTCAACCAGTCACTAAAGTTTTTTAGAACAGCCATCAAAGAGATAACTTTTTCACTTTGGGAAGGTTTGTAATTTTTGTTAAATAACATTAAAATTTATCTCTATTTTAAGGGTTATATTTTGCACTTCTGAAGCTGGTTAAAAATGAACAATTCGACTTGAGCCTCATGTAACAGACAAGTACTGTCTTGATCAGGTTGCAGGTGGTAGCAGCTCCCGTAAATGATATTTGGGTAGGACATCTTGACACCAACATCCCCCCCCCCTTCAACTACAACTCTGCTGGTTGAGGTTAAACTTTAGCGTAGTTATTGGAGTGTGTGTATTTGAATTTTGATGGAAGCAATATCACACAGAACGTAACTTCTGTTGTGCAGTAACATAAATTTGGCCTCTGCATAAAGACTGATGTCAGTGTTAATCGGTTACACCACAGATCTTTTTTCTATTTTACAGAAACGGTGATAATGAACTGTAGCTCTAACGTTCAAAATCTGTGTGTTTCTCATTGCATCTAATGATTTGTCAAACCTTTCCACTTCACACCTGCCGAAAAAGCTGACCCAAGGCTTCTGCTTATTAAGTTGTCACTCAGATAGGCATCTTTCATTATTTCTGTCTGAACACTGAGATTTTCTCGTGCCTAACATTCTGCTCCATTTGCATGATGATGTGGCTACTGAGTGATTTGACATTTCTAGCTTTCTTCTTCTGAAAAGGGTAATGTCATTGTAATGACCTTTACAATTCTGGCACTGGTTGATGTCGACCTCCAATCAGCAAATTTCCTGATTAAGCTCCCTGATATAAATCTGCAACGTTGTGATAACATATCTCAATTGGAAATGTGTGTCGTTATAAAAATGCAGTTAAAGAAAGAAATGTGTTTTTGAGTATGCCTGCGAGAACCGCATGCTCCAGCGATTGTGTCTGCATGGCTACTGGTGTTTTTCTCTTTCCACTGTTTTCTGTGACCTTGAGCAAACAACCTTTACCAGTGCGGCTCTGTCCCTGATGCTGTACACAATTCTATTGTAATTAGCTTTGTCGGCATTCTGGAGGCCTGACAGAGGCTTTTGGCTGCTGTAATAGTAATGACAATTCTGAAGTTGATCATTGCAATGGCAGTGTGCTTATATACAAAGCTGCAGGCAGCCAGCATAGCTGTCTGCCTGCTGTCTGTCTGTCTGGCATGGGCTCTGCACCGAGGTATTGGTATGAGACTGCTGCTGGTCAGTACATGCGTGTGCGCGCATGTGTGTGTGTGTGTGTGTGTGTGTGTGTGCGCGCGCGCGTGCGTGTGTGCATGTCTGTGCGCGTGTGCATGTGTGTGTTTGTGGATAAAAAAGAGAGAGAAACAGCAAGAGAACAATGGCGACCTAATAACGAACATGATCACTGGGCTCCTGTTAGTGTAGAGCTTCTCAGTTGACTGTGGAGTCATGGTGATCAGCCGCCATGATGTCTAGCACAAACCATCTACGCCTGGAGTGAGTTCCTGGTGTGGAGTCCACATTTAGACAGGAACTGTCTGTATTGCCCTCTTACTGTCACCAGATATTGCATAGTGACTGTCTGACAAGCATTCCTGGTAAAATCTACTTTGTTAGCATCATTGCAAAGTTTTTGGGGGAGGACCTGTCATGTCATGAGCAGTTCATGTTTAAACGTTGCTTCATGTCTCATCTGTCTTGTCTGTTTGAGTCAGATCTGACCTCCCGAGCTCAGGGCCATGCAGCCAATCTGTCTCTTTGTTTTTGTGTTTGAGCGTCCACTCCTACCTCATCTGTCTCCATAAAGTTTATCTTTCTGTTCCTGTCTGCATAGCTATTGCTTATTCCATTCACCGAGCTCTGCAACCCCCTTCTTTTAATTGACTGCACACACCTGGTTCCAGAGGTCAAGTCAAAGACATCATAAAAAAATGTGTTTGAGCAGATCAGCAATGCTCCCCATCCCCATTTTCTTCATGACTGTGCTGCTCTCTTTGTTTATGTCAAAGTGACATAGTAATTATAACTCATTAATGAGCCAGATATTTGGTATTCATGCCCCAGTATTTTTCCTCTATGCTTCTTTGCATATCCAAGACATAAGGGGAATACTTGAGAGCTGCTGGAACTGCAGGAATTCTGCAACCCCATTTTCTACCTTTCTGCAAAGTGGACCTTTGGTTTCACCAGTTTGTGTTGTAGAATATCATGATGCCATTCAGCAGGAAGAGGTAAGACTATGGCATTGTGCTGTGTGATCTGTGTGATGAGTAGCTCAGTGTGCTTGACCCACTTCACCTTTATAGCTGCTCTGCATACCAAGGCACAGAATAAAAAAGACTTATTCCCATGACAGTAATTACAATATGCCACAAAGGTCAGGGCTGACCTGGCATGTAAGATAAATGTGGCACTCATTTGTAGGGGGACTGTATAATGTGTGTGCAAGGGATATTAGGTGGATATATGTGTGAGCAGGAGCAAGTAGCAGGCTTGCCACTTCTTTCTTTAAGTCTAGCTCACCCCTGGTTTGTGGAGATCCCTCTTCCATCAAAAAGCTGCTAGGTCTCTTCCCCTCCCTGCCTGGCTTTTCTCTGTTGCTCCATTTGTTTATGCTGGAGTGACTGTGTGTCAGCAGGTTGTCAATACTGTCTGTAAGAGACTCTAATGAATAGGCCTGTTATTGGACTGGTGGGATGGAAACCCATTGTGTTTGTTTGTGTGTGCGTGTGTGTGCACGTGTTTGTGTGGCACACTGCGGAGCAGCAAAAGGTAAAGGTGTGTGATTTCCTGACTCCCATGTTTTCACTGGTCTCCCCGCAGTGCCCTGTATTAAAGGTTTTTTTTAGTGAAAATTAGAATGATCCTGGAGTAAACATAGTATTTTTTTGTGAGTTATAGTCATAAAGTAAAAAAAGCAAACAGTGAAAATAAAACCGATTTGTGCCGTTTATGAAGCACCCACTAGGGCCCACGGCACCTGCCACCACCACCAAAAAAACCTGGCGCTTTGCTGCTGCGCTGTGAAGCACAGAAATGCACCTGTGCGTGATTATGGTGTCACATTAGTGCATTCACCAAGGCAAGCTGGCTGACTACTTACTGGGAATCCTGGGGCTACAAGACACCTGGGAGTTGAAGCCTGGAAAATGTTCTGTATGCTTCAACAGTCTGTCTGATCACAAAGTGGAAAGAGGCACAGATGATTCTTCACACTGCAGCTCTCTAGTGTTTTCAAAGAGACAGTGTTGCCTTTATCATGTAGAGGTGTAATATTTTTTGTCATCTATTTTCCTGATGTCTTTGCTTAATTGTGCTCTTTTTTTTCATGACAAAGCTTACTAATTGTCTTTTATTTTATTTATGTTCGTGAACTGTGACTTTCTTTTCTTTAGGGTTTCCTGTGTGCAACAAAAAATTGTTAATATGTTTATTTACATTCCCTATGCAAGGTGGCTTAACATTGCACAGGTGTTCTCTTTTGCCCATACTGGTATTGAATCACCTTGTGTCATACAGCTGCTTTGATGAAAGACTGGAGATCAAAAGCTTTGCTTCCTGTTTAACACTGCACTGCCACTGGTTAAATATTTAAGTAATCAGTGTTTTTACATTACATGAAAATATAAAAAATCACATTTCAGCTCTCTCTTCAGTACTCTCTCTCTCACTATAAGGGTTAGTGAATCATAACTGAGTTCAGAACAACTCCTGTGAAAATGCTGAGCACTTACATGGCACTCTGTTATGCAATGGTTTATTTTATTCATCTCTAACATAATTTGAAATACTTGGACTATTAGGACAGTGCAGTGACATAAATCTATAATAAGACCATTTTTATATTCACTGCTTGTTGAATTTTTGATTTAATTGCACACGAATTCTGCAAATTAAATTGAAGAGATTTGAGTATTCAGTGTATACTGTTATTATCTGATTCAGCAGTTTGTATGTCATATATGAAATCGTGAAATAATTCCTATACTCAAATGTTTATTTGATCTCTTATTCCTTTTGTTTTCTCTTTACTGATCACGCTCATGTATAGAAAGAATCAAGCATTTATGATGATGTAATGATCTGATAATTCACTTGCAGTTTTGTAAGGTTCAAACGGCAGCCAAGTGTAAAAAGGTTGAGCAAAGCTAACGTTTGGCTGCGAAAGATGTTGCATTAATCATGCCTGTTCTATTTCTGTGTGCTCAAACGAGAAGAGAGTAGAAGTGGAGGGGGAAGAGAACGAGGAAAGCAGATAGATAAAATGGAGTGAAAAGTGTCCTCATGAAAGAGAATTAGCTCTTTCCAGCTCTGGGGGGGAAGAGGAAATTCCTCTGAGTGCTGTTGAGATAGGGTTTCACACAAAGACAGAAGAGAAATCAATTGAGTTGCAGCAAGGTCATTTCATAGGAGCATGGCTAGCAAGGAGGAAGCTAAAGGGTAGAAGGAGGATCTCCATGAAGCACAGAATGAGAAGCGGGATTGAGTGAGTAGTGTAGGAGGACTGGGACCTAAGCGATAAAGAAGGAAATGAGAAAACAGTGAGATGAGGAACGCTGGATGTGGGGTGGAGTGACAATTCTTTGGTTACAGCTAGGCTAAAGGGTGAAATCCATGCTTCCTTGTGACAGCAAACATGGAGCACTTCTGTCTCTGTATCATCTGACTCATACCAAGAGGAAATATGAGCAGTATATCTAACATACTGCTGTCCTAAAGCTCTGCCTGAACTTCACTTATAACCACAAGGACATGTCCTCACTATGGTACCTCAGTCATCTAAACAAATCTCACTTTGCTCGACTACATACTGCTGGGCACACAGACTGAATGAATGCTACCAGCGTTTGGTTCCAAGAAGCCTTAAGCTAGCTTTTAATCCTTAATGTTACATGAACAGCTCAAAATAGCTTAAATCTCCACCCCTAACGCCTTACCTCTGCCAACTAAATCTCTTCCAGCATGTTTAAATGTATGTATGATGCTTGATGATGAGTAGCAGAAAGGCTGGGTGACAAAAAGGCGTCAGTAGGTTGAGCTCCGACCTGCCCTCTGTGGAGTCTTGCCCATTGACAGCTAGTGTAGCTAGAGCTATCAGAAGGGTTTAGCGCAGTCTTGGATGAGTGCCGGGGAAGCCTCACTAGCAGGTAGTTATGGAAACCGCATGGCGTAGGTCTTAACACAGGCGTCTGGTATGCACACCTGTCTTTGAACAAGTTCTCCCCTGAACATGCGGCCCTACCCCTAAGTAGGAAAGCGGGAGGGATGATAAGGGACTCTGCCGGGACCTGCACCACAGCTCCCTGCCTTGGGGGTGCACAGGGAAGGTAAAGAGAGGTGTGGATTAGAAGGCTGTAAGGGACGCAGGGGTGAAGAGGTACCTGAGGTCATTCATGTGAGTCGTGTATCTCATAGAAAAAAACACCTTTTTGCATTTATGCATGTAAAGATTTTCCACTGGGCAGCTTTGCCTAATGCAGCAGCAGCAGACACTGTTGTGGGACGCACAGATGGAGGAATGGTTGCTTATATATTTAACATAACTTTTAGCTAACATGCAGTGGCAGTAAATGTAGTTCAAAAGAGAACTGATAAAATGTAACAAATGGAACCGAAGAGGAAGGATGGAAACAAACATTTCCATAAAATTAGCATAGTCAGGATTGGTGCACTTGTCCCAGTGAGACAGGAATTACCGCATGAACATAAGCGACTTCACATTACATTTTTCAAATCTGAATAATGGTGGTTAATGTTTGGGCTTGTAGTGGTTTTGCTTATTAACTGTAGCATGAGACGTTTGACAGCACAGCAAAGCAAAACATTTGCCAGCCCATACGCTATAAAAGTAACATTTCTGCCTCCAGCCTAAGTTTTCTCATTTTCACCTGCAACCGTTTGTGTAAATGCGAGGTTTTATTTACAGTAGCGAAAAGATGGCTTTTGTGTTCGTTCTAGGCCAATAATCACCAAGCAGCCACTGCCACAAATCTTCATTAGAAGATTAGCCTGCAGAGAGACAGCTTGTGTGTATTGTTTATTTATTTTGGGGAGTTTTGCTGTTATTAGTGCTGCTGCATACACCAACATCAGCCTTGGTTTCAGACTGCTGCCAGTTAAAATTTGTGAATATGAGCAAAATTCACCTGAGACTTGCAGTCTTCAAAACACATGCACACCAATAGTCTGTCCTTGTGGTGTTTTATTTTTCAAATCCTTACCCTCCTCTGTCTGTCTGCATCTTTCCCATGCATATGCTCAAAACAATATATATATATAATGCTGTCAGCTTGCTCTCTTAAGGTGCATCAGCTGCCCAGTAGGTACTCATACTCAAGACAGAACAAATTAAGGTCACAGCAGGGAGAGGACAATGCCATGTGTGTCTGTGTGTGGGTATATATGTATATTTTTTTTCCTTTTCTGACCTCCAAACAGTGGCATGACTCCAGAGAGTGGTGTTGTCAAATGGCTCCTGTCCCACTCAGAGGACACTGACCCTCACTGCACCATTTTGCAGGATAAAAGGTGCCATCTCCCACATTTGACTTCAAACTAGGAAACAGAGTGACGACTGAAGACCGTGGTATTAAATTTCCCTTTTGTGCCTGCGATTGTTGTTTCTCATCCTCAGCTTTTAGTTTCATTGTACCTCTACTAAGAAAACCTATTGTGTTTAATGTTTAAATTTAATAACACTTTCAAAGCGGTGCCAGTTTCAGCAGCACCTGCTAAAAACAGAAAAATAAAATCTTTTCTTGAAATTGCCTTTTTTTTCTTAATTCACACACCATACTAGATAAATAAAAAAGGTAAGAAAGAAGTAACAGAAGGACAAGCTGGAAACTGAAGCATCTTCTATCATCTGCAATCAGCAGTTTTGGGAAGGTTACTTTTAAAATGTATTCCACTACAGATTACAGATTACATGCCCCAAAATGTATTTTGTAACGTATTCCGTTACGTTACTCAATGAGAGTAACATATTCTGAATACTTTGGATTACCTATTATATTATCATGCTTTTTACAACTACATGAATTGCTGTGTGATTTATTACTTTTACTGAAGGTTACTCGCCATACGCTCGTCAGACTCTCTTTTTGGCTGCAGTGGTTATTATTATATTTACATGCTTCCAGCTTCCGTTTCTGCTCGGTGACCACTCTCCTTTTCCCCCCTCCCTCGCTCACAGAGGGGCAGTCCATTCTCCCTGCAGCACGGACTACAC